GCAATGAAACGAAGAACTTCTTCGATGCTATCAAGACTATCTACGGTCCCATAATAAAAGGAACCACGCCGCTTCTCGGTCCTGGTGGCTCGATACTTCTGACGTAAAGTCGCAGATTTTGAAGGGCTGTGCCGAGCACTTCAGAAGGGTTCTTAACCGCCTCCTCTACAATCCCCAACGCCGCCATCGACTGACTCCCTCAATTTGAAATCCACATCGACCTGGAGCTTCCGCTGCCCAACCTTCTAGAAACCGTTTGCGCCATGGAACAACTCTCCGGCGGGGAAGCACCAGCTTCCGATGCCGAAATCTACAAGCAGGGCGGCCACCGACTGATGGACCAAATCCCCGCGATGTTCCACGGGAGGTGGCACTGTGTACAGGACACTTAGGACGCGACCATCGCCCATTTCTACAAGCGCGAAGGTGAAAGACAACTATGCGATAACCACAGAGACATCTCGCTACTCAGAATCGCCGGGAAGATCTTCGTTCGGCAGCTCAATCGACCCAGCAGCCACCTAGAGCAAGGACTAGTGCTGGAAAGCCATTATGGATTCCTACATCGCGGACCACCGACATGGTTTCTGCCGCTCGCCAGCCACAGGAGAAGCGCCAGGAGATGCGAACCCACCTCTATACCACCTTCGTGGACTCGACGAAGGCCTTTGAAACAGTTAATCTCGAGGGATTGTGGAAAATCATACAGGAATTCGGCTATCCCGAACGGTTCACGCACATAGTATTCCAGCTGCACGACGGGATGACGGCGCGCGTCACGGACAACAGCGCAATCTCCGAGGCATTCGCAGTGATCAATAGAGTGAAGCAGGGCTGCGTACTTACTTGTACGGCTGCGATCATGTCTGATCTAGCCTGCCTCGATGATGTCCCGAACTGTACCTCTCCACGCGCGACGATCCGCAGCAGCAGATCTGGACAGCTCAATCGGACATATTTCATGAGGTTTCTTGGGAATTTCGAATACGGGGGGGGGAGCACCAGCCGCTCGGATTGTTTGTTCGAGGTTGTCTCCTCTAGCGCTTTGGCTTAAAAGCCTAACCACGAGGCAGCGGTGGCAAGTAAACTTATTTAATTGCGGTTTACGGTCGTCATGTCACAATGTCGTCATTGGGTTTTGCGGCTTTTTATAAGGCTTTCAGCGTGCCAGACCTCAGCCAACCGCACCCTGGTAGCAATGTCGCTGCTGTTCCGCGACCGCTTATTCGTCAGACCCGGGTCTGCTTATTTCGCAGCTAACCTTCACTGAAGGTCGTCCCACTATCCGCCACCTGTGGACGCGCCGGGTAGCCGGCAGCTAGGCTAACGGGCAATCCGTAATCTACCTAAACCTGGGCTGCGTACCAGCCCCACCCTCTTCATCCCCATGTGAAGCCTACCGTGATGAGCGCCCTGGGATGTGCATCGTCCACAGAACTGACGGACATCTCAACAGCACGCGCATGAAGGCCATAACGTAATTATCTACGACTACAGTCCACGACCTGCTCTTCGTCGAAGACTGCACGCTTAACACCACGACTGAAGTGGATGTGAGACGGAGCATGGGTTTCCGCGTCGCCGGGTGCGCCGACTACGGCCTGTTAATCAACACAGACAAAAGGGTGATCATACACCAGCCGTCACCGAACACTGAATACAACTCTCCTCGAATCGCTGTCGATGACAACCAACTCCAAGGCGCGAGCAACTTCATCTTCCTAGGGAGCCTTCTCGCGCAGCACAAACGCCGACGATGAGGTTGACAGTCAGCTCTCAAAAGCTAGTCAGGCCTTCGGCCAGCTGGAGGCCTCCGCGTGGAATCGTCACGGGCTTCAACAGAACAGTAAACAAAAAATGCACAAGGCCGTCGTCTTGATGATATTCCTTTACGAGGCAGAAAGCTGAACATTCTACGCTGGCCATGCCAGGAAACTCGACCACTTTCATCTTAGCTGCATTCGCAAAATACTGAGGCTGAGATGGCAGGACAAGATCTCGGACGCGGATCGGAATCCTCAACATCCACGCCATGCCGAGGCAACTGCAACTGCGATGGAGCGGCCATCTGAGAAAATGGACTATGTTCGCCTAGCAGAAACGACTCTTCCATCGAGATGTCGCCACGGGTGCTTGACGACCGAGAGGACCAAGACGACGCTACGAGGACACTCTGAAGAATTCTCTGAAGCGACTGGATATTAACGCAGAGACCTGGGAGGACCTCGCCTAGACCATACCGGCACGGAGAAGAGAAGTGAAGACTGGGGCCGTCATCTGCGAAGCAAACCGGATCGCCGCCGTCAAAGGCTCGTGAATCATAAGCGCCTCGGTTCTCTTCTAACATGTCGCGCTGCCAACGCACATCCCGCGCGCAAATCGACCTCGTAGGAAACCTTCGAATTTAATGCACCAACAACCCGGCAACGTCACCTTCCCCTCCCACGTCATCCCTGCCGCAAACCCCGCGAAGATGACCAGTCCCGTCACCGGTGATCAGACTGCCGATTTCTCGCCGCCATCGATCTTCGGCATCATCCGTCCTGCCATAGCCCCTGCGTCGATCACAGCGACCAGCCCCGCTCACCGACGGGACGACATGCGACGCCCCGTTGCCTACTAGCATTACCATCAACACCCTCCCCCCGCCTCCAGCGATGTGGACTCGGCCCCGACCTGCCCCCATTGCGATCGCACACACAGCTCATACATCGGCCTGGTCGGTCACTTGCGAACCCATCGCACGGAGACTTGAGAACCAGTGTCTGGAGCACCCACCTTCATTGTCCACACTGCCCACGCTCATTAGTTCATCGCATGGACCTACTTGGTCACATGCGTATCCACGATAGATGGGTTCACGGCCGTATCGGCACACCTAGCCTAGCCCAATCAACACCTCATTGTCCAGTGGGTCCACCACCATCACCACCAAAATCACCTCTGACATTCCCAACCTATCCTGCCCACACTTTCCCCGCACACTTACCTCACACGCCAGCCCGGTCGGTCAGTTGTGAATCCATGACACGGGGACTGGTGAACCAGTGCCTGGAGCACCAACACACATCAGACGCACTTGACTCAGCTGCCCTCACACTCAGCCACTGCATGGGCCTGCTGGCTTACAAGCGCAGTAGATCACCGCCGATCATACCACACCATCACATTTCTCCTCATGAGGGCTTGCAACGCACACCAACATCACCCATCAGCACACAACAGGCACCTCTCACTTAAGTGGGAAGTGTGCATCTCGACTCCTCCATGTGGCTCCTCTGCTGAGTGTGTGATCCCAGCCTGCGACTATCACGCTGCCACGCGCCGTGGCTTGGAAGATTGCCAAGTGACGCCTCAGCTCAGTCCACTTACTTACTTGTGCCTGGTACGGCTGCGATCATGCCTGGCCTAGCCGGCCTCGATGATGTCCCGAACTGAACTTCTCCAAATGTGACGATCCGCGGCAGCAGATCTGGACAGTTCAACTCACTTCCTTCGCCAACGACGGAGGCCGAATACCGAAGGTCCAAGAACCACCTCCATGTCTTGACGAACTGTGTCGAGTCAGGCTTTGATTTGACCACCTCTTCGACGCATCCAATGGTGTGATGGTGCCGGATAGAGGGCAATAACACTGAGCTCCTGAGGTGGACGACTAAGAACATGCCAAAGCCACCTCGGTTGTCTTTCTTGGATGACCTGGGTTATCCTTGCGATATCGCAGCCGGCGCGGACTGCCTCACTTGATACGAAGTCGGTGTACTTTACTCGAAGGATGGTCCTTGAGCAGTTGTGCTTGTTCGTGTGGAGTAGCGGACTGGTGGGCTGAGAGTCAGATTGCAACGGCTCCTTCTTACCGCGACCTCTGGCACTTTCACGCATGTGGGAAGTATGCCGCTCATCCCCTGCTGGACGAAACCCTGGTGCTTGTGTCTGGGGGACCAGGTCGTGCGTGTGGCGCGCGAAGACATGGTCACTGGATGTCAGCCTCTGCGTGGTGGCAGACGCAATTGTAGGCCCACGCTACGCATATTGGAACCTCTGCTGCCCCCCATAATTCTGGCCAGATGTTTGTTTTGAACCAGGGAGTGCGGTGGTATGCCTAAGTTCGGGTTCGGTCGTGCCGGCCACGTGCACCCTCTCTCGCCTAGAGTCCTCTGGACAGCCTTGACATCGGGCCCAGTTGGGGGAGGAGAGACAAGTCACCGTGCCTATCCTCACCTTTCAGTGGAGCAAATGGTGGACATTGTCCGCCATGACGGTCGGACTGCCATGCTCTGAATGAGTCCACCGTAATATCCTGAGTAATGAAAACCGATGATTGGGGTGGTTTGCGCGGTGGCGCCGGAGTCCGGAATTGCACTCAAGCACCTGTGTTTTGTCGCCAAATGATCATTTCAAGCCCACCTGGTGCCAAGTTCACATTTCCTTTTTTCCCCTGTTTCGCCACCGTCGCGCTGTCAGTCTTTCTTATCCTTCATTCTTTGGTCAGTGGGCTAGCCGAATAAAAATGTCCTTTCACACCGGACTGACAGAAACCCTCTCCTCCAATGTTTTCCGTCCTCAAGCCTAGGTACCCCACCCCACCCACGTCCCACTACTTTATTTCCTTCGGATGGCAGAACATGCGAAATCCTCCTGTCTCGCCGGTCCTTTTACTCCTCCCTCCCCTCCCCAACGTCCATCCAGATGTGATATTGCTTTTTTGCACTCTCACTTCCCCTTCTGTGTCACAGGTGTGAAGGGTTATGTGCCTTTCTTCGTCCCATGTGGCTTCGACTACGGGCAGCGAGACAGACTCGTGCGATGCGGACACAAGGAGGTGGCATCGGATGCCCCACTGCGCCGAGTCGCCATTCGGCCTAGAACAGCAACCGACCCAGCTTACTGGTAATTAGAACATTAAAAAGCACAACACGAACAGTTAGCGTGCTTGACGGCAGAAAAGCCTTGTAGTTAAAAAAAAACATGTTCACTTAAAAAAGCAAGACATAAAAATCTCAATCAGATGACTTGTCCAGATACTCTTCAAAGTCAACTAATTTAAACCAGTGTCCGCAATAACACTTCTTTGGGGGTCCTTTAGAAATCTCCATCCAGTTAATGGCATTGGCCTCCGGTTCACCTGTAACAGATGGACAACCATGAGGGTGTGAGCAAAGTGACTTCAAAAGCTACGTCGGCAGCGTCAGTGTCAGTTAGGTGAGCTCAGAACGGGCCATAAAAAGTCCTGCAAAGTATAATTCAGCAGAATTATTTCTGTCTAGTGGAGGGCCGAGTAAATTCAGGGCTGCTACTTGTAGCAGCCATTAACTCCTCTCGACCGCAAATGCTGGCCGGGTTTAACAGAACACGGATGGGAAGAGGGGGGTTAAGGTCATTATTAAGCTGGAAAACAGTAAATCTTGAGAACGATTATTTTCCTGGCAAAGAACCGCAGAGTACAGGGCCTGCTTAGCTGCTTCGGTAGCGTAATACTTGACACATGCGCGTGGATGGCCAGACGACTTGTGAAACTGCAGATAAAGCGCAATATGCTCTTGGGGACCGTGTGGCGCTGTGGTCTGCAAGCCGCTGTGGCATCCTAGCAACCCGCATCAGAAGCAAACGGAGGAAAAATAAAATTCAAGACGTACAAAGGCAGCCAATAAGACGGGTCGGTGCAGACGACGCAATCAAGTTGGGTTCTTCCTCTGTCGTGTAGGCTGGCATCTTCACACGTCGTACTTCATAGGGATCCTTTTTAAATGGACAAAGAAAACCAGATACCTGTTCATAAATAATTTTCTCGACTGCTTTAAAGTTGTTGTTTTTGATAGCTTCACTCAGGCATTTAAGAGCGGTTCCTGGAAAATAGGCATGACGTCCATCATGATTACCTTCTGAAGTATGGGCCGCCGTGGAAAAGGACCTTAGACTCGCTGCTCGCAAGAGACATCCCATGATACGCATACGCATCATCTTCGTACCTATTTAGTGAAAACATAAAAAGACGGAATAACACCACTGGGTGTATTCATACAGCTAATCGTATGCATGTTTCCTAATAACGAATATTGTTATCTACCGTAGGGGGTGTCGAAATCCCGAGGCAAACAAATAATAATATGAAATGAAAATAAAATTCACGAGACCAGGTCGGTAGTAAGAGACAATTTCCGAAAAAATTTTAATTTGAGGACGGAAAAACGACAATATGGGACCTTAAACAAGTGCCCACATTTACAAATTCCGGTTGTTTTGCAGGAACCCTACTTCGGGTTTCTGATGCAACGTTGCGTCTCAGGCACGTACCAGCACGCGCGTAATTTCGACAGTCTGATTGTTGTCTAATTACAGCAATACACATGGCGCATTGACGCCTGTCCCAGTGGCACTTCGAAGCCAGACTTATCACGCTGGTCTGGTTGTCCGCCTGCTCCAAACTATCAAGCAAAGCAGGCGCCGAGTGAACAGGCGACGGCCACAAGAAGAACAACCCGAAGTCTGGAGGGCTATTCCATACAGTAAAGGAGTCTCCGAGGTGGTTTCACAACTGTTTCAATCCGCCAGGATAGGCATAGCCCATCGACCCCAGGCAACAATTCGTCGCCGTTTAATGCAACCCAAAGACATACTGCCACCCGCCGAAACCTCAGCAGTTGTCTATCAAATACGTTGTAACGATGGAGACTGCAAATACGTTGGGGAAACTGGACGGAAATTGCAGACCCGCCTACATGAGCACAAAATGGCAACTCGGAGAATAGACCCAAACTCACAGCTTGCGGCTCACATCGGGGAAACTGGACACAGTTCTGATTTTCAAGAAGCAGCCGTCTTAGGCAGGGGCACCTCAAGGACAGAGCGTCTCACACATGAGATTTGGTACTCAGATGCCAACTCCATCAACAGGCATGAAGACCTTCCTTTGGCTTATAAAGTTCCACGTCACTACATACGCCGTGACGAAGACAAGACAGTCATACGGTGCCTACGGATACAGAGCAAACACGGCCTTTCGACCAATTCACCCAAAAAGGGGACGCAAACGCAACTAACCCCAATTGAGGTGACGACACACAATACAGGAGGCCACCAACACTTACAAGCGACGGCTAAGGCAGCGGAAGACGAAAAACATCGACCAGTCTAAAGCCAACTAATCCGGCTGTCTATTCAAAATTCTGATCGATTTTCCCACTAGAAGCTTTGATAGTGGGGAGCCCCCCAGCTCTTCGAAACGTCAGCCAAACAAGTCCCTCGATCCGGTGGCCCTTTCTTTTCCTCAAACTATCAACAATTTATTGTGTACAGAATACAATTTTCCCTTAAGCGGCGTCCAGTTTATCCACAATTTACTCGGGACCAACCACGAATTTCGCAGCGGCCACGACTCTGGCCGCCGTGGCAGGTCCGTGCAATCCAGTACCCCTCGCAAGATCCTGTAACTGTCGGAAGGTATGCACGCACTTATTACAACACTTCATAGACGAGTCTAGGTTAAGTGAACTGTCTCAGAACATACTGATACCCAGGAGACAAACACGAAGGAAGCAGGCTATCTTCTCGGGGCTACGAAAACTTTAGCCCATTTGACATTTCAATATCACCTGTTCAGTCCGCATCTTTCACTTCACTATTGGCAGCCTAACTAGATAACCGAATATTCTACTGGGTTTCATCATACCTAAACCCAGTGCGTCCGTTAGTCCTTTAATCTCAACGAATGACTTTTCAGACCATAAAAGGACTATCGTCTGCAGCTGAGAACATGAGGGAACCAAAGCGATGACGCCTAAAAGTGCGCCGCCAGCTTCAGTAGGCTATCGGCATGGTTGCATCCGGTACAGTCGGCCGTATGGCAAGACACGAAAGGATAATCCTATTTATTAAAGTATAGATCTCGGTGCTTCCGTCTTGCTGACTCATAGTGTAACTGCACAAGAAAATACGAATTGATCTCATGCACTAACAAAGTTATTTATGTTCGATTTACTAAACCAACGTGCAAAGAACTAAATCAGCGCAAATGCCTGCAAAAGCGTGGGTACCCCTAGTTAATGTCCGTCCTGTCTATAATAGGCGCTACCAAAAGGGGGATGACAAAACACATTTTCTGGTCCCCAATTTGCTAAGACCACATATCCTACGATCCAAACTGATTGATAATAGTGAAATAGCCGAAACAATTAAAAATCAAAGTTGTTTCTACATAAAAGTCCGTATAGGTGTTAATCCAAAGTGAAACACTGAAGGCATTTGTAAAAATCAAGAAATGTCAACAGGGGACACAAAAAATGTGCAGATTGCCGTGCTGTGTAAACCCTGAAGTGCATACGGAAGCACTTATATCCCCACCGCGAAAAAGGAGCTCTTTTGGACAGAAACGTGAACGGTGACAAAATTCGGAAAAATCCAGGCGAGATCCGATATTGTAGATAATGCCTGAGAGATGCCCATTTTCACATCCAAGAGTTACGTTCATTGCCTATTCTATAGGAGTTTCCACTCAGAATCGCGAAACTTCTTGAAGCCATCTGCTACTTTGTTTGCCTCTATCTGTTATTATTCAGAGAGAAAATCATCATCAATGACGGCCCTGATGGCCCATGAATGTTGCCAATTATGGACAACATAGATGCCCTGGGAATTTCCCTCATGCACCTATGAATCAACTCACGGAATCGTAGAGGTCAAGCGTAAGATTGGTAGACTTGGAAAACCGCAGCGAAGACTGTAACTGACAGAATCATTACTGTCAACGCAAAAGCGGCTAGCGTGTGTCAGTAGTCAAGAAACAATAAATCAAGCACCTACTCATTTCACCGTGCCCATGCTGTCTATAGGCATTCTGCCCTAGAATCGTTTTCGCTGTACTCAGCTTGACCCCATCGAATATCAACAAGCAGCCCCATTCCAATCTCGAAAAACGTCCCCAAATCAACAACAACCACCACCACCACCACCACCATCACCACTGCCACTGCCACCACTATCACAAGCACTGTTAAGAAGAGTACCGGCACTACGCCAACTACCACCCCTCCACCGGAAATGGAGGCTGAATCTCAGCCTGTTCCCACTGCGATCAGGCCCTCGAATCAAGCATTGGCCAGATCGGCCACTTGCGAATCCATGGCACTTTGATCTGGGAATTGGTGCCTGGAGTCCTGACATACACCCATAACACGCGTCTAGTCTCCCCCAAAATGTCCCGGAGCATTAAGATGCCGCACATGTCTTCTCAGTCACATGCACATACGCGACAGCGGAATTCACCACAATTTCAACAAAACGAACTCATCTGCTATATCGGTAGCTTCTCTACCACCGGCTCAGTAGCCATAATCATATCTCGTCCTTCCCTCAACCGTATATTTAAAAACATGTCGACTTGGTCGATCATTTGCATATCCGTCGCAATGAGACCAGTGAACCAATGTCAGGAATCTAAACCCATACCCGTCGCACCCGATTCACCTGCCCACACTCTCCAGGCACATTCAGTCATCGTATGAGCCCGCCCGGCCACAATCATCCCCATGAAAATTTGCGGTTAACCACCAGAATCGAAACTCCATCAACATATATCATCCTACCAGTCCACATATTCCTAGACCATATACTAACCTGCTCCACACCATGCATCAGGTCCCGTTACATTCTGACTACTTTCAGTAGCAATTGTGTGACCTGTTCAACCATCAGCGGTAATGCGGACGCAACATCACACGAAAAAACATGCTCATCGCATACGAGTTAAAGATTTGTTCTTCCTGCTTCCGGTAGATAAAGAAGATATCAGGTCGTCTTTGGTAGGTGTGGATGGGCCGTCTAGCTCTGTCAGCCACTGCGCTCCACTCCATTTTCAGTTGACTGATAGACTCGGTCTGTCAATTGGTTCGTGGAAGAGGGAGTGCAGCCGACTCCAGGAGACCCGATCCCACCTTACATCAAAGCGCTCCTTTATACACTGAACTGACGCGTTTTAATCTACCACGACAGGCCAAAAGTTGGCCTGCGAAGGTTTCCAACTGATGGGGTACCACGATCCTCTTGGCCAGTGATATGTGTGGAATGACTGATTGGTGCGTGTGGTCTCCATGGCACTCATGCACGTATGGGGCCCGCACGCTCTTACAGATCCTGACACATGTGGTGGTAGCAGGTAGTCGTGTGTGTGTCCGCGCAGACACATTGTTGAGTTGGTTGACTACCGCATCCTAGCCCAGCTTCAGTCGGCCGGACTTTCTTGTCATCAAAACCTGGTGGAAGAGGTAGATGGAGGAAACAGTAGGAGCCTCGGAGGTCCGCTTCACAGTGAAATTTTTCACGCGCAAGCTACCGATCTCGTGTCCACTCTGTGGGGTTTGATGAGGGCGTTGTCTTTTGTGGCGGCTGAACTGTCGGTATGCAAATGTTGTACGATTTACCGTAATGACAGAACATTTAATGATATTTCAAAACATTTTTACGTCCATTTGGTCATGGTTCCGTGCACTGGACACACAATAGGAACTTCACAAATTCAGTAACTTAAACAGGTGCTCCCATTGGGGTACGATTGGGGTTTTACCTGGCAGATTAGTGATTGTTTGCAGCCAGAAGCCAATTTATTCGTAGACATCTTCTGTGAAATCGTCGAGTCTCTTAAGAAAGTAATTTACTTGTATGGTCGTGCTCACCTAATATTTATTTTGTTTCATCATTTGTCCTAATAGCCACCGTAAGAATAAGTAGTGAGTTTTGTTGCCAACCTGGTATCGAGGCATCTTCCAAATTTCTGCAGAATTGCGACTTATAAATCACGGTCACATCTGCTAGATGACTTCGCTCACTGAGTCCCGGTGCCTCCATACTAGTTACCTTCTTCTCTGAGAAAAAAGTTTGTCTCTTGTGTCATGGAGTGATATTCAAAAGAATTTTGCCGTAAGTGGCATTATTCTGTCTCTGCCGATTCCACACACATGCAGAAGTTTAAATATTCATAGCTTCGACAAATCCTGACAAATCCTGAATTATATGAGTCGTCCCCTGTATCCTTGATATCTCTTAATTTAGGTGACTCTGGAGGGAATGCAACCACTGTCGAACTCAGCGAATGCCAACCAAAGAACAGACCGCTTGCAGTCACATCGTCAACAATCCCACCAGTAGCTTCACCCAGGTATAAGCAGGTGCATGGTTTAAAAGCGGGACCAGTACAGCCTTTTGACACTCGAAACTTTAAAGAGTTTAGTTCTAAAAAACAATACTTCACCATCACAAACTCCACCCCCAAACATGGCGCAGTTCCAATAGGTCCCAGGCCATATGGCAAACAACTAATCCTTATTGGCCTATATTTTCGTCGACAAATGACATTCCTGCTCACACTTAAGCATTTCACCTCACACTCTTCAGCCTATACCCTCAATAACAGAGCTCGCAGTGTAATTTCAACTTAAATGCTTTTCTTACGCAAATAAACTCACCTAGACCTGAGCGTTACCTCGGTTAAAATAGGTTGTAATGTCGTACAAGGGTATAAAAAGCTTGGTCCAAACTGCCTCCAGAGGAAAAGAAATCAATCTAACCCAGCCTTGAGTTTCTCTTTGGAGATAAAGTGCCCTCTCTTTCTGGACAACCCATTTAGGGGACAAGTCTGATGGAACACTTCGTAGGAGTACCGTCCGCATGGAAACACGGCCAGGACAATGCACAAAGTTTCAAAGTCTGCAAATAGGAGCGAACGGGCGAGTTAAAAGTAGCAGTTCAGAAAACGAAGATGCGATCACTGGAACAAGAAATGCATTGGCCTGACGTTTCGGATTCTCACTCGAACCCACCATCAGAGACGGCCACAGATAAGGGTAATGATGGCACAAGGAATGCAGTATTTATAGCACGTGGCCGCCGTGGGACCATTTGCGCACTGTAATTAACAGCTCTGGCAATCACCGCCGGGGTCGTAATTAACGCGATAGTGGCTTGTCAGTCCGCGTCCGAGTAGTTGCTGACCGTGATTTCGTCATCAGTGCTGGATGGTAGTGAGACGATTGCTCGGCAAATTGGCCCACTGTCACTGGGATAATTGCTCGCCCACGCCCTCCCCACGCGACCGATTTCCCTGCACAGGGAAACTCCCAGCACAAAATACGATAACGGGAAGTCATTACGCTTGTTGATGGATTGCGGGCCTGAGACCCATAACTCGAGCGGCCCACGTCTCACGGCTCACGGCTCACGCATTTGTCACCCCTTGCGCAGCTTTCGGCCTCTTGAAACTTGAAAATATGGTCGCGTCCCGTCGAATGCGCCGTCACCTGAGAGCTAGCGTCTCCCCGCCTCACTGCTGCTGCGGTCTTGGCAATTCGCGTCCAGAATAATTTCCCAGTTTCTCCGACATAGTTGCTTTGTCCGCAACTATACCAGATCCGGTAAATGACTCCAGACGTTTCCTGCCATGGCAACTGGTCTTTTGGTCTCATGAATTGGCGCCTGATGGTTGCTTCCGGCTTTTTGCAACCCCAGCTCCAAGTGGAGTGAGATGACGACTGACGGCTTCAGAAGCGTTCTTCACGTACCGAAGAGCCCGCCAAAATTTGGGGGCGGTTGGATTTGGTCTTTGGCGTCGTTTTCGGATGCACTGGTTGACAAAGTTGCTCGGGGAGCCACTGGCTCTCAGTACCCATCGAAGATATTGTATTTCAGCAACCTTGTCTTCTATTTAACTGCAGTGCGTCTCAGCGCGCCGGTATAGCGCCCTTACGCAACTGCGTTTGTGACTGATCGGGTGGTTGCTATTGAAGTTCAGCATTTGTGTCGTATTTTTCGCTTTTCTGAACACTTTGGTTTTTAGGCCACCACAATCTTTGCGGCAGACGAGGATATACAGGAAGGCCAGCTGATTGTTTTCTTCCCCTCCCATCGTAAATTAAATTTCCGGGAAGACGGCGCTGAGGTGTTCTTTGAATGTCAGCACCTGATACCGCTCAATGACGACGAAGGTGTCATTCACATATAGGGCCCGTAATTTCGGTCTGTGGTGTGGAAAAACCCGTGACTCCAAACGCTGTAGGACTGCCTCGGTTATGAGTCCCAAAACCAGCAAACCCATTAGCGCTCTCTTCACCTGCTCGTGTTTTAGGGTCTTCTCTAATAACTATATTCCCTCTCCGATTTTGGATCAGCCTGTCTGAAAGATTAACTGGCCTATCTGAAGTCTCGCTACTGGACTGATTTCTTTCATAACTAGCATGGAACTTGTAGTCCCTTCAATCTTTATGGTGTTCTGAAAACATTTATCTCTCAGTTCCTTCTGCATCCGAATGTAACTAATGCAATTATTGACATTTTTCCCTTATTCTTCCGTCGTCAACCACGAAGACCCTGCCGTGATTCCTATGTCTAAAACGACGTTTTAATTTTATCCTTGATCCATTGTGTTTCCTAGTGAACGAAGAGGCTCAGAAATAAGACTATTATTATACATAATTCGGCACTTCTACTCTTATTTTGAAATAGGATATCTACAAGAGAAGAAAAGCGTGGTCAACTCCATCAAATGCCATAGTGAAACTGCAATAAACTGCGCGAAGGGCGAATCACTCATCCCGAGGCTGCCAAACCATAATTAAACCTCAAAGAACCTGGCCTTTATGATTCCATGTTGAGACGCAATCATGGCACAATTGCTTGTGAAGTCGAAGTCTTTACGATTTTGGGAAGGGTGTTTATCCAGTTAAAGCTCTAAACTGGCAAAGAACCATCGTGCTTGGGAAAGCGCTGGGCGTGTGATTCCTTCCACAAAATGGGAGAAAGTTTAACTGCCGACAGCGAGAGTTGGTATCATGCACATTATAAACGAAAATAATTCATTTACATCGGTCTTTCAAGTGCTTACGGGGATACCATTTGCGCCTGATCTATGAGACTGTCCAAGAAGTCGAATGACAACAGGTAGGTCGCCGCGAAAAATGTTTAATTATGATGGAATTACGGGAATACTCGCTCCGTTGTGTCTTTGAAGTCAATCTAAAGTCCACCTAGGCAAATTAATGGCGACCATGAATGTGTGTCGAAAGAACTAACGACAAAGAAGACTGGAGTGACCGTTTTCGCCTATCATGACCCGGCAGTGCTCCACCTCAAACTTTCGGCCACTGACGCTCGATTCCGCGTTTTTTTTGTTTAGTAGTGCAGCTAAGGGGCTACCGACAAAGATAAGGCAAAGCGAGATGACGATTTCTGGCTTTTTAGCTGCAATCAGTCAGCTACACTCGACTCTGGTTATTACGGAACTTGGGACTCGAACCAGTGTCCAGGATCTTTGGTCGTCCAGTCGAACGCTCTATGATTGATCCACGAGCCTGTTGTCCTGTCGGCTGCTATCATCCATTGAGTTACGGGACTTGTTCGGGACTTTGAGTCGGCCACCAGCACATCTCGTAGGAAAAAGTGCCAAATTCCCCTTTTATTACTCGTGTAGCGAGGAAAGGGTTTTGCGGAGATTAACGGGCCGTTTTCAGCGAAGTCAGTCTAATTGGCTAGCCGTTCTCCTTCGGGCAGAATTAAGGGAGAAAATTCGTCAGTAGCACGATTCGACTTTTTATACGGAAAGAAATGAGGAGCAAGTGGGTTCGAAACTTCCTAAAGTTCAGTGCTGCAACAAAGCACATTCGAGGCAGAAAAGGAATCAATCCAGTCGTGAGACTTTCAATAGGCCAGCATATCTTGCAGATAGGTTAACTTGCAACACGGGACCGACTGAATCTGTCATTATGAAGGTCGCCACAAGTACATGTGCTTTCTCATGAAATATTAATCGAAATCCTGAAATTCGTTCTCAGTCAAAAAGGATTGCTAAAGCAGAGGGCTCGAATATTCTACGCAGAATCTGCGCAGAGGTTGTCATACTTTTTCATATTTGAATCTGATCAAGGCTCGGCACAGAATCTGCGCAGAGGTTCGGCGTAGAATCTGGAATTTATCGTGTCGCATAATGCAAAGATGTTCCAGTCCCGTTAGGATGCCGGCTTTCGAACGAGCTCCTTATCAACGGCCTGTTTAAGCTATTTTTTTGCAAAAAAATGATTATTTACGTAGAGTGGAATTTTCTCATTGATTTTCGATGCACTAATACATTCAAACACTTGTCATAGACGACAAGCACCAAAACACTCTTTCTTTCACCCACTGGGTATCAAATTAAGCCTTCCTCCGATTTTAAACTAGAAGAAAGAGTACCTTTCCGTTTTAAAAAAAACTTTCTCAATTCCCGAATAAGTTTGAATCCGAAATACTGTAACACTTTCATTCAAGGTTTCCGAACTGCAAGCTGTATGTTTTCGCGTGAGGAAAATCATAAATGACTATTGGTTATTAAGAAGACGGCATATAGGGCTCATAATCTTATAATGGGTGCGGGCCACATCGACTATTTTACAAGCTACATTAATAAACGTGCTCGGGCTATGCTAGACAGTCTGAAAATAACCACGTGACTAGAAACTTTTTTGAAACTAAAGGATACTTTTTATTTAAATATAAAATTTGGAGGATATGTAACTCACCACCAAACGAATAAAAGAAAAAGTATTTTGTGCACGTTTTCCATGTAATTTATTTGAATTTATATGAATGCCGAAAATCAATAGGAAGTCATGCTATTTAAGCAGTCATTTTAATGGAATATAGTTTATGCAAGCCGTTGATAAGAAGCTCATTCAGAAGCCAGTATCCTGTCGGGACCGGAATATCTTAACATAATGTGACACGGTGACAAATATGACAACCTTACTTACGTAATCTTTTCGAAGTGAAAACCCACTTTAGAATTTCACCCAGCATTCCATGAGATGGCATTTAAACGGCATGCATATAAGTACGGAAAGGTGACTTATCTTTGCAACAGAAAGCCACCCACCGGGTCACCTCCATCCTAAAGGTCCTGCTAGGACGGACATCGAGCGAACGGATAACGGCGGGACTGCCCTGTAAATATCAAATTTCTCTATGCAGAGGTTCCTCTTCCGGTCGACTGGAGGCAACTCTTCACGCCGTCCTGGCCGTACCACGTTTACTTAGAGGCTGGTTGCGTTTTCAGCCTTCTGTGGACGTACCTTTCCAGCCTCCTCTCGTCAGTGGTTCGATTTGATGATGGGATTGATGCCTTTACGGCTACCCTTCACTGCAGAGCTCGGCCACAGAGACCGCCAACACCTTCAAGTACGGTGACATCTCGACGTACAAATTAATGGCGGCAAGGGTTAAGATATGAGCGGGGTGGGAAAATTCCAAATGTTTTTTAACACATTCACCAGCTTTAGAGGTGGACGTTGGCATTCCCTCTACCATTATTTTGAGTATTTTTTTACCACCTCCGTGTCGGACTATTTTTTTCTAAAAATTGAGTTCTCCTCTTACTAAAGAATTACATTTGGCATGTGCAGGACAATGAACCAATGTAGACATTTCAGCAGCACCGGTGCAGGTCAGCGGATGTCATCCTGCCGGAGAAGCGCCGACCGAGGATTCCGCAGAGCAAGGCCCTTGAAGAATATAGGTGATTCTCCATAGTCTTGCCCTACTCCGCACATATACTCCACCCTCAGGATTCCCGGAAGGATTCGCCTTCACCCATAGGCTCCCCCACATCTGGTGTGATTGCTGTCGTGGTTTTTCAACGGATAAGACACTTGGTGTTCACCAAGTATCAACCGTTACGTCGACGATACCTTCGTCGTTGTCATACCATCTGACGTGGCGCACGTTGAAGAAATACTCAACTCCGTTGGTCGGAATACCCAATTCACGATGGAAGCTGAAACTAACGACAAAACCCCCTTCCTCAATGCCCTTGTGCGCCGGTGCGCAACTGCAAACTACCGCTTTTAGAAAAGCCACCGACAGAAGACTCCAACAAAAAATCATCCCCTCTCTCTCTCTCTCTCTCACAAACGCAGCTATGTCCGCACTTTATTCCAAAAAGTTGAATCACAGCAATACACTGACCGGCAAAAGAGCTGAATGAAAATACCCTCAAGATCTCTCTCGGGCAAATGGATACCCAAGCTATTTTATCAAACAAAGCAAACGCCGAGTGAACAGATGACGACCACTTCTGACTATACAGTAGGTGGGCTAACTCATGAAATAGGTCAGTATATTTTAAGGGTAATAGGCAATGCCTTTGAAAACCCTATTGTAAACGGTACATGCAATATGTAACATTAAATAAACACAGTACTAAAATGTTGTCAGTAATATATACACTTAACATAATATTTTTCATAGAAAATGCAGGACCGAAACTCAAACACATTCAGTTGTAGATGATATTGGTAAAATGCAATGACAGTCATCCGCATTAGCGGTAGGTGTATGCAAGGCGTTGGTTTGGCACTACAGAGCTGTTCTGTCCAGACAAGCGGTATTGTCCAAGCAAATATACATCTAGTCTTTGCTTGAACGTCTCCGTGGTATCCTCCATTATTACGTCCTCGGGAAGCCCATTCCAGGCACCGACGACTCGCTGTGAAAAACAGAATCTTCGAACGTCCAAGCGGCATCGGGATCCTCTAAGTTTTAGGGAGTTCCTACGCAGGTTTGTCAACCAAAATTCCGAAATGCGTTTTCGTTTTGAAAAGATTCATTAAGTAAGGTTGTAAAACTGATCATCGTGCTGCATAAT